TTCGCTAAGGGTATCCAACTCATAGTTTCCGGGTAGAAGTACTCTTCGCCCAGGCTTATTTTTCGTAGCTTAACCCAGGTAGAACCTTTTTGCCTAGGGGGATCCAGCTCATAGTTCTGGGTAGAAGTACTTTTCGCCCAGGATGTTTTACGTAGCTTAACCCATGTAGAACCTTTTCACCTAGGGGGATTCAGCTCATAGTTCCGGGTTGAAGTACTCTTCACCCAGGCTTGTTTTTCATAGCTTAACCTAGGTAGAACCGTTTCGCCTAGGGGGATCCAGCTCATAGTTTCGGGTAGAAGTAATCTTCGCTCAGGTTGTTTTACTTAGCTTAACCCAAGTAGAACCTTTTCGCCTAGGGGGATCCAGCTCAAAGTTTCGGGTAGAAGTACTCTTCGCTCAAGTTGTTTTACGTAGCTTAACATAAGTAGAACTTTTTCTCCTAGGGGGATTCAGCTCATAGTTCCGGGTAGAAGTACTCTTCGCCCAGGCTTGTTTTTCATAGCCTAACCCAGGTAGAACCGTTTCGCCTAGGGGGATCCAGTTCCGGGTAGAAGTAATCTTCGCTCAGGTTGTTTTACGTAGCTTAACCCAGGTAGAATCTTTTTGGCTAGGGGAATCCTGCTCATAGTTCCGGGTAGAAGTACTCTTCGCTCAGGTTGTTTTACGTAGCTTAACCCAGGTAGAATCTTTTTGGCTAGGGGAATCCTGCTCATAGTTCCGGGTAGAAGTACTCTTCGCTCAGGTTGTTTTACGTAGCTTAACCCAATTAGAACATTTTCGTCTAGGGTGATCTAGCTCATAGTTCTGGGTAGAAGTACTCTTTGCTCAGGCTTGTTTTTCTTAGCTTAACCCAGGTAGAACCTTTTTGCCTTGGGGGATCCTGCTCATAGTTCCGAGTACAAGTACTCCTCGCTCAGGCTGTTTTACGTAGCTTAACCCAGGTAGAACTTTTTCGCTTAGGGTGATCCAGCTCATAGTTCTGGGTAGAAGTACTCTTCGCTCAGGTTGTTTTATGTAGCTTAACCGAGGTAGAATATTTTCACCTAGGAGGATCCAGCTCATAGTTTCGGGTAGAAGTACTCTTCGCCCAGGCTTTTTTTTCTTAGCTTAACCCAAGTAGAACCTTTTTGCCTAGGGGGATCCAGCTCATAGTTTCCGGGTAGAAGTACTCTTCGCTCAGGTTGTTTTACGTAACTTAACCCAGGTAGAAACTTTTCTCCTAGTGGGATCCAGCTCATATTCCAGGTAGAAGTTATTTTCCCCCAAGCTCGCTTTTCGCAGTTTAACCCAGGTAGAACCTTTTCGCCTAGGGGGATCCAGCTCATAGTTCCGGGTAGAAGTACTCTTCGCTCAGGTTGTTTTACGTAACTTAACCCAGGTAGAAACTTTTCTCCTAGTGGGATCCAGCTCATATTCCGGGTAGAAGTTATTTTCCCCCAAGCTCGCTTTTCGCAGTTTAACCCAGGTAGAACCTTTTCGCCCAGAGGATTCATTTTCATTTCAGTAATACATGGCACCAACCCCTGGTTACATTTCTTTTCCGTAATATAGGGTGTCATCCCCTGGTTACAATTCCTTTCAGTAATACAGGGTACCAACCCCTGATTACAAGCTTTTTTCGTAATACAGGGTATCAACCCCTTGTTACATTTACTTACCAGTATCAGGGTACACCAATCCCTAGTCGTTTTTCCAATATAGGGTCTCCACTCCTTAGCTTCTTTCATTTTAGACATAGGGTCTCCATTCCCTAGTCTCTATTTGTTTTTTTTGGGTACACCATTCCCGACCTTTTATTGCTTTCAATAAAGAACTAGTTTAGAATTTTGTTACAATAACACACGAAATTTTCCTAGTGCAAACTGGGGCAGAAAAATTTCGTTCGTTTGTTTGTTTTGGTATCTGAGTAGGTTTTACCTCGAGGAACAGGGTTCGAGATGGCCAAAAGAAGAAGTCTCAATTCAGAATAAAAGAAAAGAAAAAATAGGTAAATCCAAAATGCAAAAGCAGTTGAAAAGATGTGGAATGCTCAAGACATGACTGAAGCCACGAGCATTGGAGTCCCGTTTTGATTAGAAGAAGCTATAGAACAATGAACGAGCACCTACAACTAGCGAGCATCAAGGTTTAGATCAGAGTCTGCATGAAGAACCAGTCAAGACTCAATATCAAGTTTCAGAAGACTCATTGATAGGAATCTTGTAACTCATAGCTGATAGGTTTGTTTAGTTTCTTTTTTTTATATATTTTATATAATAGCAGGATCGCGGACCGAAGCCTCGACGGAACCTCACTCGACTCCTCAACTCATCATTTCACCATTCTCCTTGAACTACACGTGACATGATTCCCCTATAACCCGGGATATGTAGGCAGTCCAAAATTAGGACTCGGTTACACCCTATCTTTTATTTCTTTTTCTTTTGAATAACGGTTTGGTCAAAAATTAGTCATATGGCTCACCTAGTCTTTGCCTTAAAACTTTTCATGTTTCCAAGCAAAGAGGAGCAGCTGTGAGCACCTAACTTTTGACTATATTTGAATTTTTACCACCTTCTACTATGTAAATATTTTTAGAAATTTAATATATATTATTTTAGCTTTGTTACATTTTTTCTAATATAGGATAAGAATTAAAAATAATTTAAAAGGTCAAATTATTATTATTAATATTATTTTTATTTTTTATCTTTATTTTAAAATAAAATAAATTTAAAAAAAACCGAATTGTTTTTTTTTATTTTCGGATGGGAATAAAATAATAGGAAAATTATAAGTATGGAATAAAAATTTAAAAGTAAAAGTAGGTGGAAATAGTTTTTTAAAAAAAAGTAAAAGGAAGTGGAAAATTAAAAAAATAAAAGTAAAAGAATGTGAAAATTTAAAAAAATTAAAAGTAAAAGAAAGGTGAAATTAAAAAATAAAAGTAAAGATAGCTGAAATTTTTTTAAAAAAAAGTAAAAGAAAGTGAAAATTTAAAAAAAAAAGTAAAATAGGTGGAAAAAAAAAAGTAAAATAAGTGGAAAATAAAAATAATAATAAAGTAAAAAAAAGTGGAAAATTAGAAAATAAAAGTAAAGGAAAGTGGGGAATTATTTTTTAAAAAAAAATAAGAAAAATAGGAAGTGGGAATTCTTTTTAACTAAAATATAATAAAATAAATAGAAGGAAGAGAAAAAATAGAGGAGAGAATTGAAAAATAATAATTCTTCTTCTGCGCTAAGTGAATTTCTACTCGTTTCATTAGTTCTTTCGAAAATTCAAGCAATTCATTAAGACCCAAAAATGCCTCAAATCCAAGCCTAAAAATACCTTGTGAAGCTTCATTGATAGTCACCTCTCTCACGCCAAAAACCAGCAGTCTCACGAGGTACAGTCGAGTTTCGGTCTGGGCTCGAATTTTAGAAGGTTCGTCGCTAGATTTTCTGCTCATCTGCGGATTTGCCCTTGGTTTGGTGTATTTGCTCGGCTCAAAATTGTTTTTGCATTAATCAAGTTGTGAAGAAAATTTTTTGCTTAAAGGTTCATTGCTTATCCTCCCTTTGTTAATTATTTCATTGTTTTGTGTGATGTTCTTATAGAGGTTCATGTGATAGTTTTTTGTGTTGTTTTATTTATACACATTATCATGTTGTGATTTCTTTTAAATATAGTAGTATGTTGTAAATATTTCTAAGTGTGGATGACTTTTCAATACTTTAAATAACTAATATATTTTCCGACTTCCAAATAATTTCCTATCCATAAATTCTTGGTCTTACAATAAATTCAAATTAGTTTAGGAAAATAATACAAGTGCACGTTCACATGACTTGACCAATCAACTTCGAATAATAATAAATGTGTTATTGATTGTGTACACGTACGAGTTACATGATTCTTGACGCCAAACAAAAATGAGTACACGTACGCGTGACTTATTTCAAGATAATTTTTATATATCTAATCAAGCAATAAAAGCGGACATAGGTAAAACATGAGAACCAATAAAACACAGGTTATCCAAAAATAATATAAGCCAAATGTAGTCAATAAAGCGACCGTGCCAGAACCACGGGAATCGGGGAATGCCTTACACCTTCTCCCCGGTCAACAGAATTCCTTACCCGGACTTTGTTTTCGCAAACCAATAATAATAGAGTCAAACCTTCCTTTGACTAGGGATTCAAATAAATGGTGACTTGGAACACCCAAAAAATCAATTCCAAGTGGCGACTCTGTAAATAAAATAATCTCAACTCAAATTTGTCACTTTACTTGAAAAAACTCTTTAACCCACAACAATTCATAACACATATATATCTTTTGGGGCAAAAAGAGGTGTGACAGTGGTGTTTGGCCAAACCTTTTTGGAGAAAAAAAGTGTTTTTGGGAAGAAGCAGAAGCAGTTTGTTTCTGAGAAGCAGAAAAAAATAGCTTCTTCCCAAAAGCAGAAGCAGTTTTGACTTTTCTTCTTACCAAAAATACCCTTAACAAAATATAGTATATATCAAAATAACAGTTAAACCTAATACTTAGGATATTAATGTATAAATATTTTTTATTATTTTAAGGATAACTTTCTAATATATAGTGACTTTAGGGTTGAATGTTTTTATATTTGTTGAATGATTTTTAATATATTTAATTTATATTAAAAGAATTAAGTACTTTTAAATTTTACTTTGATATTTTATTTAAATAAAATGAAAAGATTTAATTATTGCCTGTAATAACAAATTTTTAAAATTATTTATTTACTTATAATATTAACTATTAAGTAAATCTATTCATGTCATTATTCGTAATTTAATACTTAAAAACACTTTTTGAAAAGCTTTGTCAAACACAAATTATTGCTCAAAAGTGCTTTTTAGAGTGATTAGCCAAACACAAACGGCTTCTCTTCAAAATTATTTTTTTCAAAAGTACTTTTGAAAAAAATATTACTCAAAATAAGTTTGATTTCTCCAGCTTGGCCAAACAGGCTATTACTCTATCAGACATACACGGAAAATTATAGGGCTTGTAAATAAAGACAATGATAGATCCTTAAATGCACTCTCAATTCCATTTTTGTTGGTATACAAGTACAGTGGGAAAAAAAAGAAGGAAAATGGCAGTGCATCAACAAGGATAGCCTAGTGTATGCACACACAAAACCCAGCATGGAAGGTGAACCATACATATGTATATGTAAGTTGCACTGTTCCATGTCCAAAGGGACTCAACCCAGTTCCAGAAGTCACCAATTCTTGCATTGTCAAGACCTACTAATGCTCCCTTCCACAAATAAAAAGTGACTGGAGGGAAAAACAGAATTATTAAGACTACATTGCAAGCCGCCCTAGAAAATGACTTCAAGGTTTTAGCTTTAGCATCGATCCTCAAGGGTCTAGCCATCAAACACATAGGGACCAGCATAAGTGCTCCGATTTCTGCAGTTGCAAAGTTTATGACTGACATTATACAAAGTCCAGTACAGGCGGCAGCAATTGTCACTGATTTCAAAAGAGTCCATTCCATTCCTTGAGTTTGATTCATGCTTGGAAGAGAAAAGGAGGAACCCAGAATCACTTGCAAGATCAAGAGGCTGGACACTGAAAGCACGATCCAGGTCAAGAGGTTGGTCAGAGGTGGGGAATCTGGTACTAGAGACAGAAAGTGTGGAAGCAATGTTACAACGGCACCCCAAAAGTGGACAATAAACACGGTCTTGGCTGCATGAAGCCATCTCCAGGATCCAAATGTGATGGTAGGGATATCAGAAAAAGCTGGAAAAGTTGTGACCTCTTTGTTTTCCATCCCAGAATTCTTTCTGCTAGCATCAGCAAAAAGAGAAGCTGCGACCATTGGAAGGGGAGCAACAAGCAAGGCAAAAGGTATCATGTAGACTCCAACAGACACAAATCTATTTGGAGATGTCAGAAGATAGAGAAAAAAGGACTGGTGAAACTTCTCGAGCAGATTATTTACAGACCGGATCACTCCTTCAACCAATCTGCAACAAGACCAGAAATTTTGGAAGACAAATCAGCTGTGCTATTACTACAAAATATAGGGGAACAAATAAGAGGTAATGCAATCATTAGCAAGCCAAAACCACTTCCAGAGTTCCAAATTGGCCTTCCCTTTTCCGTTTCAGGGGATGCCCTAAAATGACCATCCCTATCTAGTAGTAGAGTTCATTATCCCATCTTGTCCTTTTTTGTTCCCTTGATGGGCCCATTTTTGTCCATAAAGACTTTAAGCTAAACCATGAAAAAGATAAGGTTTAACTTCAGAAAGTAAGATAACACTGGACCACATGATGTGTGGGTTAGGCGCACTTCACAGGTTCGATATCATAAGGTCGAGACAAATAAGAGGACAACAAAGATAACATCGAGCCATATGTGGACTGTGGAGATGAGTCTTATTACTCAAATAGCAAAGTTGACTTCTTTTCCTTCCTTTTTCTCTTTTGTCTTTCAATCTTTTAAAGTGAGATTTGAAGAGTCAACCACTTCTTATTGGATTGCTATTGGCTAAACGCATAGTTCTCTGAAGCACACGACTTCACTCATGAAGCCACATGCCCTTGTTGCATGCTTTGCCGCTAAGAGATGGCTTTTAATAACACTGGGGGAGGGAAGGGGCACTGAATACTGACCTGCCACCTTGCAAAAGTAACTCGCTATGTCGGTTCTTGTAGTTTGCTAAACGTTTTGATAAAATTTCCATAGTAATGGCATCAACTTGATAATCACGAAAAACACCATGAGGACCTGTGGGAACACCCAGTGCCTAAAATAGAATAACAATTGCAACATATGAAAAGGGATCCAACTTGAACAGAGTAATATACCTAAAACCAGATGTACATAGATTAATCCTGCATATTAAGATGTTTTTCGTGATTGAAACTTGTGGCCTCCAACTGGAAGGACACGCAATCCAACCACCAACAATCCAAATATTCTGCTTCTC